GAACCATGGTACTCCTTCCACGACATCTCTTCTCAATATGCCCCGATGTATGGTACCCTAACCATGACATCACTCCCCAATTCGCTGATGTATGGTACCCGGACCATAACATCACTCCTCAATCTGCTCTGATGTATGGTACCCGAACCATAACATCACTCCTCAATCTGCCCTGATGTATGGTACCCGAACCATAACATCACTCCTCGATCCGCCCTGATGTATGGTACCCGAACCATAACATCACTCCTCGATCCGCTCTGATGTATGGTACGCAAACCATGACATCGCTCCTCAATCTGCTCTGATGTATGGTACCCGAACCATAACATCACTCCTCAATCTGCCCTGATGTATGGTACCCGAACCATAACATCACTCCTTGATCCGCTCCGATGTATGGTACGCAAACCATAACATCGCTCCTCAATCTGCTCTGATGTATGGTACCGAACCATAACATCACTCCTCAACCTGCCCTGATGTATGGTACCCGAACCATAACATCACTCCTCGATCCGCTCCGATGTATGGTACTCAAACCATAACATCACTCCTCAATCTGCTCTTTAGAACCTTCAGAATACTCCCTGTATCAAGTATGGGTCCTCTGCTTTCAGTAGTACGGGCCCATACTACCTGCCACATCTACCCATACTTTCCACACGGACCATCCCAGAGCTTCTAAATAGCTGCTCGACCTGCTCTTTCACCAATCCCATCGCGTGCTCGCTCCCCAGCGAAATTCTCTATTCTACAAGCGCACTCATCTGGATAGGGTTATTCCCTAGGCTCTTCCGTCGTCCTCCCACTTCTTTGCTATCAGCTGCTGAAGAGCTCCTAATGATGCCAGCCATCTACCTCCTGAATATCGTCATATTCACTTGGTAGCTGACTCCCATCATCGAGAGTTCCACAAAGCACAAAGCAAGCAGCATTCGAGCATCGAAGGATACATAGGACTCCCTCTCTGTGATAACTCCACCTTCTCAGCTCATCCTCGAAAGTACCACCGAACTCTGTAACTCTACCCCTCATGGGTTCTAACTGGATACTCTCACTCATCACATACTTAAAACATAACACATATAACAATGAGTCCTAGGCTAAGGCATCACAAATCAGGCCACTCTAGTCCTAACATATGAAATACCTAGCCTGTCTCTAGCATGCAATAATATCTCATAAAGTGCATCATACATATCTCATAACACAAAAATAAGGGTATTTTGGGAAATCACCGTTCGGGCTCTGGCTGATTGTACACACTGCTCCTTCTTGCTTTCTCTTTGAACTCTTATTCACTTTTAGAAAATTATTTCTTTAAAAACTTTTCGTACTTCCTCAGTTTGAGTCCAGATTTACCCGAAGGCGCATCCGAATCCCTCAAACCAAGGCTCTGATACCAACTTGTAACACCGTAAATTTCAAGACAAAATTTTCATTTAAAATAATCATTTTACTCTTAGAAACACTTGTTTAAAATCTTATTCATAGTCGATTTACAAAACATAACTCCATTTTCACTTGCATAGAAAACCAAGATCCTCCAAAATATGACTCTTTCTCTGGTGTGTACAATCAAGCCGGTGCCGTCCCGTGATACTGAAAGAAACCTGTAAAACATCAAACAAAACACTGTAAGCACGAAGCTTAGTGAGTTCCCCAAAATACCACACATAACACATATTAGCCACTCGAGGCTATAACTCTGTGGGTCCGTGCACCCAAACTCTGTGAACCCTCAGGTTCTAACTCTGGGAACCTTCCGGTTCCAACTCTATAAACATGCACAACATAAATCACATAGAAATAATGCAGTACAACACATCACGTACATATAGCATACAAATACTCTAATCACATAACTCTGGTTACCTACTCAAGGTAAAGTATAGTGAGAAGACTCACCTGGCAAGCAGAAAGCAGATATCCCCACACTTGAATCTCGAACTCGCCACCGCCTAACACGTAAGGCAAATACTCTCATGAATATAACTCTCGAGGCTAGAATAAATCCTCTCATAACACCCTCTTATGGGTAAAAGACTATTTTACCTCTCTCTTGGCCCAAAGGCCACATCGCTGTCCAAACCCTAAAACTCAACGGCCAACCCTTGGTCGAAATCAAAGTCCTCAGTCTAGGTCAACCCTTGACTGACTCTACTCGCCGAGTCAACCCTGTGACTCGTCGAGTTCCCATAATCAGAACTTCCCCATATCGCGACTCAACTCGTCGAGTCACCACGAGACTCGCCGAGTCCCACAACTCTGAGTCCACTCACACCCAACTCACCGAGTCATCCCTTGACTCACCGATTCTCGACTCAACCAGGAAATATTTGGGACTCTTCGTCAAGACTCGTCGAGTCCAAGAACAGACTCGCCGAGTCTACGGCTATCTTCAACCTACTCGCCGAGTTGTTCATACAACTCGCCGAGTTCCAGGCCATCTTCATCCAACTCGTCGAGTCCACCCATGTGACTCGCCGAGTACCGCCGGTCTGAATACATTCCGAAGCATTCCAGGCCATGCAACTGCTCCAAGACATAGATCTAGCCTCCTACCACTCATCCATCACGTAAAGTGGCAAACTTTACGTGAATCCAAAGAGATCTAAGCCGTTTGCACATTGGGGCTAGGGTTTGGGACATGCAAGCTTCACTAAACACTCCAACACAGGGACTTTCATGCTCTCTGATTCTTCTCCCTTCCAGATCTGAGGTAGCAACCTCAGATCTAACCTCTAGACTTCCCATTTCATCCATAGACAATTTCTCACAAACCCCAAAATGAAGAAACAACATAATCAACAGGTCAAAAACGAGATACTACCTCTAAGTGATGCCCCAACTGCAATGCAATTCGAATCCAAGCAAAGCCCCTTGCTCCAAGCCTTCAATCTTCCCAAAATTCCTTCAACCATTACTTCTCCAAGCTCCAATCCACTCAAAAATGGTGCTTCTCCGCGATTTAGGGTTTTCTGGGGCTCAAGGGGTGATAAAGAGGCTGGGAGGAAGACATAATGATCATTATATAAGGCTCAACCCCGAGAATTAGGGTTTTCTCCACTCAGCGCCTACTCGCCGAGTCCAATACACTGACTCGCCGAGTCGGCCACTTAACACGCGACCAAGTCGCGACTCTACTCGCCGAGTCCACACATGGACTCGCCGAGTCGCTCTTTCCCAATTTACTCTTTTAGCCCTTCAACTCTACTCTTGATATTTCGGGATGTTACAAAAGGGGGAGAGAATTGTAACGCCCACTTTTCCAGGCTAGGCATTATCATTGATGTAATAGTCTAGGTTAACCTTGTAACTCTTTTTGAAGTATTAATGATGAAATATTTGAGTATTATGTGAATTATGTGATTTACGTGTTTGTTTTCTTAATTATTATAATTTAATGAATTAAGAATAAAATAAGCGTCAAATGTAAAGTGTGAGATAAGCCCGATATCTTTGTATGAAGATGTAGTGATTGAAAAAAGGATTCTAGAGATATAAAGAATGTCAAAATCCGGGTTATAACGAAGAAGTTATGACCTATCAACACGTGCACTAGTATATATTTGGAATGGTTGCCAAATATGCTTTTATGTGCTAAATGTTATATGTTTCCATATATGATATTACTTGTTCTGATCTATGGTCTGTTGCCGATCGGATCGGGAAACCTTATGTGTTTAGGATTCTAAGCGTAGTATTACAGTATTAGAACTAGCATGTAAACATTTCGGAGTGATAAGGATGATTTAATTATCTATCGTGATTGAAGATCTAAATTCACCTTATTCGGTGTGTAGATCAAAAATGGTAAGAACCAGAAGTGGAGTTGGAAACGTGAATGAAGACAGGAATCAACCACATGTGGTTGAGCGAGTACCTATTGTATCAGCAACACCTGAGCCAATAATAATGGATGGTTTTCAATTGATGATTCAGACAATGTTGGATCGTCAAATGGATGAAACTAGACACCTGCTTTGGCAGAATCGTGAAGAACTTTCAATGCAGATTGAACAGCCCGAGTTAAATGAAGGACACTCTAAAGGAGGAAACTTTAGTAGATTAGTTGGTCAAGCCAACCCACCGATAGTTAGGAAAAACAACCAAGATGGAGGGAGTGATGGAATGAGATCCAAGTACAAGGACTTTTTAAATTGCAAACCATCGACCTTAACTGGAAAGGAGGACCCGATCGGAGTCATGGATTGGATATCGGAAATGGAGCTAGACTTCATGATGTGTGGTTGCAGAAGCAAGTTGCAGACCACTTTCGCAGTACGTCAGTTCAGGGGTGGAGCTGTTCGTTGGTGGAACACATTAGGGAAGACCCTAAGCCCTAATGAGCCACATCAATTGACATCGCATAGTTCTTGGTGCAGTTCAAGCGCAAGTTCTGTTCGACCCAAAATCTGTTGGAGTTGGAGAACAAGTTTCTGACGTTTATAAAGGGCAGCATGTCAGTCGATGGATATACTAATAACCTCACAGACAAGATGGAGTTTGCTTTGCGCATCGTCCCAGATGAGCTAACTAAAGTTGACCAGTACGCAAAGGGACTCCCATGGGAATACGCAGTGCCAGTACGTCAGGAACCTAGTCTAGAGGCAGCTATTTGGGATGTCAAGTCTGTTGATGATATGATAAAGGGAAGAACCCGCCAACATGGTTGAAGTTGGCGAGAGGAGAAAGTTTGAAGGAACTTCAAGTTCTAATAAGAAAAGTAAAATTTCAAAGTCTAATTCGAAGAAGTTAGGAGGAAAAGGCGAAGCGAAATGGTGTGAGAAGTGCAAGAAAAAGCACTTTCCGAAATGTAGTGAGGAAGTAACCAGCTGCAAGTGTAGAAAAACTGGGCATTATGCCAATGAGTGTCCGTCCAAAAAAAGGATGTGTTTTGGTTGTAATGAAGAGGGGCGCATTATGAAATACTGTCTTAAAAAGAAAGATGCAGCAAAACCGAACATTCCACGAAAGCCGAAGGAGTGAGCCTTTCATATGGCACTGGAAGCTGCGAAGGATGAAGCTTCCTGAAGGGTGTCGGGAACGAAGTAGTCAGGAACGATGCCATTAGCTCGACAAATCATCTCGAACGCGACTATCTTATGAAAAACACCAGGGGTTAACATTTGAACACTGCACCCGTTACGCCAGAGTATTTCTTCTTGAATGTCAGTTAACGAAAGGCGAAGACCAGCGTCGAAGGTTTTCAGATAAACACCCACCTTACCAGGCGTAGGTCGAGTGATCAAAGAACTAGAGACTGGAAACTCCACCCCATTAGCCGGAGTGAGGCCAAAAGCCTCCTGAAGGGTGTCGAATTCGTAGGAACTAGGGATTAAGCTCTGAGTAGACGCCATGACAAAGAACAAGAAGAATAGAAGAAAAGAGGGAATAAAGTGTAACATCGAAATTTTCAAAACAAAATTTTGAAAAAGAAATATAGTTTATCTCTTTAACACTTTTCATAAAAATCTCCTGTTTTTTTGTTTTAATTACAATACATGACTCTTTTGTTCAATCACTTAATAACCAGGATCTTCAAAACAAACTTTTCCTCTGGTGTCTACAATCGAGCCGGTGCTGTCTCGTGATCTTGAGAAATCCTGAAACACATAACACAAAACACTGTAAGCACGAAGCTTAGTGAGTTCCCCAAAATACCATACATAACACATACTAGCCACTCGAGGCTATAACTCTGTGGGCCCTTGGGCCCTAACCCTATGGACCCTCTGGTCCTAACTTTGTGAACCTTCTGGTTCTAACTCTGATATACTCTGATATACACATGGCATAAATCACATAGAAATAATGCAGTGCAACACATCACATAAATAGCATACAATAACTCTGTCACATGACTCTAATTACCACTCAAGGTAAATTATAGTGAGAAGACTCACCTCAAATGTCTCGGTAAATCTCTGACTCGGTAGAAATACGATCTAGCCTCCACATAATCATACAAAGTAATAATCTCATAAATATAACTCTCAGGACTAGAATCAACCCTCTCTAGGCACCCTCAGAAGGGTAAAAGACCATTTTACCCCTCCTTTGGTTCAAAGGCCCTCATTGTTAATCAAACCCTAAAATTCATCCAAAGTCAACGGTCAAACTTTGACCCGAGTCATCGAGTGCACTTGGGAAACTCGGTGAGTCCACACGTGTCCACTGACACCCTAGTCTCGCTCGGCATGTCGAGTCCCTCCCCTTGCTCGACGAGTCACACCTGGAATGAATCACGGGGCTACCCCGACTCAACTCGCCGAGTCTCAAGATCAAATCGGCGAGTTCCATCTTGAACTCCATTCCTCTAATCCCTCTCTGAGTCACTGAGTTATTCCCCCAACTCAGTAAGTCTACTCGCTGAGTGATTTACGGGAAACACTAACCTTTCTCGCTGAGTCTGATCTTTGGACTCGGCGAGTTCATGCCATGCAAAAACTCCATTGACATCCTAAGGTCAGATCTATTCCTTAAACCCATAGATCTGACCTTCCCAAGCATGATAATCACGTAAAGTTCAGACCTTGACACTCATGTAACATGTAGATGGTCCTACTTGATGATTTAGCCCCAAAAATAAACTCCTATGCTCATGGCTCCCAGAATAAGACATAAAGCTCCAAGGATTAAGGTCTATGGACCTCTTTGAGTCCAGATCCAAAGCATAAATTCGAGAAGGGGACAATTGCGCCACATATCCATTCTCTAAAGGGGTTAGAAAACCCTAACTATAAGAATCAATACCAAAACTGAAGAAGGTCTGAATAAATACCTCAAGATGAAGTCTCTGAACTCTGAAAGCACAAGATCCGCTCCTCCTTCAGCCTCCTCTTGCCTTGGTCACCTCTTTTTTTCAATCACACCATCAAAATGATCAAAACTGGCCTCTCCTCCCTCACAAATGCTCTAGATCTATTAAGGTCTCTCTCTGGGGTTTGGTAGCCGCAAATGACGGCCCTAAGGGACTTTAAATAGGTGCCAAACCCGGGAAATTAGGGTTTCATTAAACAGCGTGGACTCGCCGAGTCCACTCATGGACTCGCCGAGTCCATTCATGGACTTGCAGAGTCCGGTGATGAACCCGGATGAGAATCCGCGACCCTACTCGGCGAGTCTATGAACCAACTCGCCGAGTCCCTCTACAAACTCCAAACTAAATGAATAAAATAATATACCTGGGAATCCGGATGTTACAATTCTCCCCCACTAGAATCAGAATTCACCCTCGAAGTCTCACTCTGCAAACAACTCCGGATGCTGCTCACGCATCTCGCGCTCTGGCTCCCAAGTCAGCTTTGACCCTTTCCCATGCTGCCACTGTACCTGCACCAGAGGCACTTCCTTGTTCCTCAGAACCTTGATCTTCCGATCTCTAATTGCCACCAGTCTCTCAACATAGTTCAGGCCCACATCCACCTGAATATCCTCTAAGGGTACCACTGCCGACTCATCGGCTATACACTTTCTCAACTGCGACACGTGGAAAGTGTTGTGAATCTAACCCAACTCCGCAGGTAGCTCCAAACGGTAGGCTACCCTGCCCACTCTCGCCATCACCCTGAAAGGTCTAATATATCGAGGCCCCAACTTGCCCCTCTTCCTGAATCGGATCACTCCTTTACAAGGAGAGACCTTCAGGAGCACGAAGTCCCCAACCTGAAACTCGAGCTCGGACCGGCGTCTGTCTGCATAACTCTTCTGATGACTCTGATCGGTCAACAACCTCTGTCTGACTTGCTGTATCTGCTCAGTCTTCTGGAGCATGATCTCTGTACTACCCATCACACGTTACCCTACCTCTCCCCAGCAATTAGGGGTCCGACACCTCCTCCCATACAACAACTCAAAGGGTGGCATACCGATGCTCGAATGATGGCTGTTGCTATAGGAAAACTCATAGAATCTCAACCCCATAGTTGAACTTCCATGGTTACCCATGACATGATTCAGAATGTCTCACTAACTTCCTTCTCGTGTCAACTATCTCGGACCAGTGACACACAAGTCATAAAATTCTCTTTACCTCATACGAAAACTACAATCCAACCGAAGATCGACTCAACCCCGACTTCTAATGTCTACTGCACATATCTCATGTGCATCTCGCGGTATCTCCCGTACCCGATTACTGACCTATACAAGTTTTAGACATCAGACCACAACAATACCCTCATTCAAGAATTCACCTCAGAATTCCAGAATTTCATCTCGTTTACCCATGCACCATCAATGCCAAACTCAACTCGAGAGTTTGGTCCGACCCAAAGTTGGAACCTCGCTACCCAATAAGATACCCTTCTCATGACCCGGCCTGCGCCCTGTGCAATACCACTTTTCCAACTTCCTCATGTTGTGACAATCACAACTCAAAACAAAATATAATGATTCCCGACAGAGACGCAGACCGCAGTCTCACCCCTGGTTCAACCACCAAGCTCCAAAAACACACTACTAGGGCTACTCAATCCTAAAAATCTTCTGCATCATACACTTATCGGAGAACACCCCATCATCACACTCTCTTGCCGTCTAGTGAGTACTATGGCTCCCCACATCATCACGACAACCTCTAACTAGTGAGTATTACGGCTCCCCGTAGCACCACAACACCAACTGACTAGTGAGTACTACGGCTCCCCGCAGTACCACAACTCCCTCTCTCTAACTTGTGAGTACTACGGCTACCCGTAGCATCACAACACCCTCTGAAGAGTGAATACTACGGCTCCCCATAGCTTCACCCCATACTCTCATTCCCATCACAACGCCACACTACGTCCACTAACCCATGCTCCGTAGACTATCATAGATAGCTACACACCCTTGTCCCACATTGGCACCACAGACTCTGGCAGTAACCGCTATAACAAAATACCTACCTCTGCGGAGATCCACTTCCTTAACTAATCCCTCTTGATGCCAATACCCGAAGGGATCCCACTGGAACTATAGATACATGATGAACCAGTAGTCGTTTCAAACTCAAGATTCCAAATAACTCCGAAATCAGAACATTATACCCAGGTATTACGGAACACCATTACAGAACATCACAATGTCCTTCCTCAACCACTGATCTCCTACTCCCAACACCATACAGATAGAACAATACATTTCCTATGAACCCCATAAATAATTCTTCATTTACCTAAGGCGCAACTTCAGTGTATCCGAACACTCAATTGGAATACAAAGAAAATGCTAACGTTTTAGAACACGCTGATGATCATCCGAAACCCTTTCCCCTACCGCTCAAAATCCAAGCAAAAATACACATACCGGTCCGGGAGTTGGCTGCTCAATATTCTTCTATCCATACTTCGACCCATAAGTCCTCAACTGCTCATACCATCATTACGAGCCTACCACTCGAAATGGCCCCGACCACCACCAGATTCCTAACCATCGGCCACCTGTTGTGGAGACACTCATCCTTTCTCAGACACGCACCACATGCATTATCTCACTCTGCACCTCTCCTTGATCACCAATGACCCTGGTCTCATGAATTCGAGCTGCAGGTCACGTATCCAACCCCAAAACCGCTCTTGCATAAATCTCTCGTTTCCCCAATAAAATACCCGGTTCTCCCCCACTTAGGGTTCAAACCATCACCAATTGACGCATCAAAAATCTACCCCACAGACGGTTTCCATCAGAAACATCGCATCTACACTTGGAAGGTGCCACATAACGCCCAATGATCTCCCCACTAAGGATCAAGAAACCTCAAATACCCTAAATCTCCGATGAAACCCTTAGGAATTTCTCATCACGACTGCCCCTTGCCGTCCGAAGCCTCATACCATCCCAATACCGAACATCCCAACTGTCCAGTACTATCAATAACTCTTAGACTGAACAACAAATCATCATACTCCTCACCCTCGACTTCTCAACCCCCGTTCCAACGTGTGAATCATCACGAGAATAGGGACTCCACTACCATACTCAATACCCATCATAGACAGAATAGCCACCGCTCTGATATACTCGTCTGGATTACCCGCTGATGCTGCTACCACACGCCCTATTATACCCAATTAGGGTGTAATGTGGTCCTTGACCATCTTAGAGTCCACTGACTACCTGCTGATGGTAGATCATTTCCTCGCGGCAGACCTGTTGCATACTATGCTGGTGGAAAAATGGACATTAATGTCAACCCGAAGGGTTTACTCCTAAACCTAGAACTGAAATCTCACGTTTCTCTTGTTTCCCACAAGAAACATAAATAGCACCCATCAGGTTACAGAAGGTGACATCTCCTCCATCGTCTGATTGCTCACTCAGACTGCAATCCCCCATAAATGTCTTCTCTACTAATCCCTGAGTCTTGCGACTACAT